ATGGCTTCCCAGTGCATGTAGAATAAAGTCTGAATTCCTTACTATAGTCTGTCTACTTCCCCAACTTTATCGCAAACCTCTCTCTCCTTCACTTATTATGGTCCAGCCACCCTGACCTTCACTAAGTCCTTCAAACATGGAAAACTTGCTTCTGTCTCAGAGCCTTTGCACTTGCTATTCCTTGTGCATGGAAGATTTCCTCCAGGTTGTGGCATGACTGGCTCCTTGTCATCCTTCAGGCCTCAACTCAAATGTCACTTCCTCACAGAAGCCCTCCCTGATCGCACCATCAGATTGCTGCTATTCTGCTGCCTCAACCTGTCATTCTTTCTATTTCATTGCCTCGTTTTATTTTCTTCATTGCTCTTACTAGTGTTTCAAATGATCTCTTTAAGTTACCTTAACTTGCATGACTTAAATTATGTTTCCCGGCTATTGTCTCTCTCCCCACCTCTTTCCCAACACCTCTCTATTAGAATATAAGCTGTAAGGATAAGAAGATAGAAAGAACAAAGGGAGGGAGGGTGGGAAGGAGAAAGAATTGCCCTAATTTGATCAATGATCCTCACAGTGAGACCCCAGGATCTACGCGAAGTTCCTGGAGGAGAGGAGGAGTGGGTCAGGGAGAGAGAGAGGGAAGGCAGGCTGGGCAGCCCTCTGGCTACTGAGTCAGCCTCAAAGATACAGAAAAGACATTACCTTCCACCCCTGGGCATCGGCTTACTATTCTTTGGAAAGCTCTCTCCCACTGGAAACAAATGAGCGAAAAAAATGCCCTCGCCCTTCTTTTCTCCCTCTGTAGAGAAACCTCATCTATTTCTACTTCCTCTGATGCCAGTAAGCACTGAAAATATTATAGTACCTCCTTATATATGTAATTCTGAAGAATATTACATTGTAAAAAATAGTATAAAGAAGACATGGTTTGCCCAAGATGACCAGTTACTTATTTACATGCAGCTGGCCCTTGAACGACATGGGTTTGAACTGCATGGGTCCACTTATACATGGATTTTTAAAAAATAAATGCCATAAATGTATTTTCCTTATGATTTTCCTTTTTTCTAGGTTATTTTATTATAAGAATACAGTATATAAAATGGATAACATACAAAATATGTGTTGACTGTTTATTATCAGTAAGGCTTCCAGTCACCAGTAGGCTATTAGTAGTTATGTTCTGAAGGAACATAATTATACATGATTTTC